CATCAGTTATATAAAAATCCATTAAAGGGCAGCAATGAATTTGAATAAATCTTCGTCATCATTAATTAATGATTATAAATTAAGAGAAAAAAAAGAAAAAGAAGAACAATTAAAAAGAGAACAAGAAAAAATTGAAAGGGATAGAAAGAAAGAACAAAAGCAAATCCATCAACAACAAAAAAATTTATTGGAAAGAGAAAGGTTACTGCTCGAAGAAAAAGAGAAACAGTTGCAAGAGGAAAGATTAAAGGCTTCAAAAATTGAAAAAGAAAAAAGAGAAAAAGAAGAAAAGGCTAAATTATTGAAAAAAGAAAAAGAGCAAAAAGAAAAAGAGTTACGTGAAAAGGAACAAAAAGAAAAGGAACGTTTAGAAAAAGAAAGAAAAGAAAGAGACCGTTTAGAAAAAGAACGTTTAGAAAATGAGAAATTTGAAAAAGAACGTAAAGAAAGAGAAGCCCAAAGAGAAAAAGTTAAATTGGAAAAAGAACGTATGGAGAAAGAGCGTATGGAAAAAGAAAAATTAGAAAGAGAAAGAATGGAAAGAGAACGTAAAGATCGATTGGAAAAAGAGAAATTAGAGAGAGAAAAGAAAGAAAGAGAAGCTGCTCAAAGACTGGAAAAAGAAAGAGAAAGAGAAAGGGAATTAAGAGATCAAAGAGATAAAGAACGTAAAGAACGTATTGAAAAAGAAAGAAGAGAAAGAGAAGAAAAAGATCTAAAAGAAAAGGAAGAAAGAGAATTAAAAGAAAAAGAACGAAAAGATAAAAAAGAAAGAGATAGAAAGGAACGTGAAAAGATTGAACAGGAGCTTAAAGAACGTGAAGAAAAAGAACGTGAAGAAAGAAGACTATCTAGAATTATTCAAGATAAACAAAATGACATCAATGAAAGAAAAAAAGAAAATGATCAATTAGATGAAACAGAAAGATTAAAATTATGGATCAATGAAAAGAAAAGAAAAGAGGATGAAGAGTATGAAAAGCTTCAAGAAGAAATTAAACAAAAGAAATTAGAAAGAGAAAAAAGGTTACAAATTCAATTGGATGAGGAGGAAAAAGAAAGACAAAAGAGACTAGAAGAAAGACAAAAAAGAAAAGATCAAAGAGAAAGAGAATTAAAAGAAGAAGAGGACCGTTTTATTAAATAACGTGAAGAAAGATTGAGACTAAAAGAAGAACGTGAAGCCAAATTAAAAGAAGAACAGGATCGATTGTTAGAAGAAAAAGAAAAAAGAGAAAAAGAAAGAAAGCTAAAAGAAGAACAAAAGAGAATCGAGTATGAAAATGAATTGAAGAAAATTGAAGAAGAAAGAAAACAAAGGTTATTAGATAGACAAAGAGAAAGGGATAATTATTATAATAGTAGCAGTTTCAGTAATAACAATAGCAATATAAATAGTAGTGGTAATTATCACAATGATAATAGTAAAATAACCAAATCCATAAATATAATTTCCTCAAAAATTAATTATGATAGCAGGGATCAATCTCCAAACCTAAACTCAGCTAGTTTTTATAAAGATAATATGGATTTAAATAAAGAGTCTGAGGATAAAATAAAAGAACAGAAACATAATGACCAACCATTAGAAGATGAAGAGGAATGTAGAATCTTATCACTTAAAAGAGAAAGAGACCTTGCAATCCAAAGAGAAATAGATTTTGAAAATAATAACATTAATATTTGCAATTCACCAAGATTATCAATAACATCATCAAACTCGACTGACTCAAATCAAGGCTCACCAATTGTAAATAGCACCAATGATACAACATGTAAAACTTCATCATCAACAATCCATATTGATTCATCTTCACCAAAAACATTTTCAGTATCAACATCATTTTCACCACCTAATTTCGAGTTGGATGTTTCTAAATCTAATATAAATGCAGCAGAGGATTATAAAAGAAAAAGAGAAGAAAGAAAGAAACTACAAGATGAAGCAGACCGTTTGGAAGAAGAAATGAAAAAGAAACGAAATGAAGAAAGAGAAAAGATCCGTTTAGAAAGAAAACAACAAGAGGAAGAGGAAGAAAAACGTGAAGAGGAAAATAGAAGATCAAGAAATGAGGAAAGACAAAGAAAGCGTGAACAAATGAAAAAGGAATTAGAAATGGAAGAGGAAAGAATAAAAAAACAAAGGGAAGAAAGACTATTAAGGTTAAAATCTCAAATTGCAAATTAGATTTAGACTTATTATTTATTAAATAAAAATAAAAAAATAAAATATAAAATTTTTTAATAATATTACAAGGTTTATTTGTTTATTTATTATTTATCTTTCTTTTTAAAAAAAAAAGAAAATAAAGAATATATAAAGCTCTTTTTCTTTGAAATGGGTTCACTTTGTGTTTCTTGAAATTCGTAAAATGTTTCTGATACCGAGGTAACTTTATTTACTGGTTTTGGTTTATCTTTTATATTTTCGCTATATCCAATCATTTGGGGAACAATTATTGGATAGTTCGTTGGTGATTGATTATCTATATATTTATTAAACTGAGGGTTTGAAGAGGTGGTCATCTTTTCTAAAATTAATGGAGGTAAGTTTTCTTTGATAAATTTAAAAAAGCTTTCATTTAAAAACTTGAATAAGCTAAAACGATTGTTCTCGATTGATTTAACTAATAAGAAATAAAGTTCGGAGCTAATGATTCCTATGTTTGAAGTATAGTCATTTACACTTTGAAATAGTAATAGTAAAACTTCTTTTGAAAGATAAGTGCAGTCTAAGTCGATACCTGATATTAACGTGGTGAAATCGTAACTTGTAAATTTGAACTCTAGTTCTTTAAAAAAATAGTTTAAGATGTAGTAGTGATTATTCTTTGCTAAATGATACAATAGTTCGTTTTTTAAATGAGGTTTGTCGTCGATGAAGTTTCTTGAAAAACATACACTAATTAGATGAAAGAAACAGTCGAATTGATAGTTTTCTAAACTTTCAAACACAACAGACCGAAAAGCCTTTTCCTTTATATTATTTTGTTCAGTGAGGCTTTGTATGTAGGAATAGATATCGTTAAATTTCTCTTGACGAAGTAATTGTGTTGTATTTAATTGAACACGCATATCTCCTTTTATATCATTTGGATCGCCAAATACCCCATTTTGAAAATCGTTTGGAAATTGTTCTGCTAATAAATTTATAAATTTTCTACTATGTGATAATTCGAAAAGTAAATTGACAGCTTTATCTTTTTGAATTGCGTATTTATTAACCAAAAATCTAAATTGATCTACCATATGATCTGTTGCGGTTATGGTGATTGCTTCTTTAGAGATTGGGTAACCACCATCAATAATAAGGGTAAGCATTTTTAAACTTTTACTTCTTACAGCAGATGAATCGGCAGAAGCAGGAAATGGGACACCAGCATCTATAAATAGTTTAACAATATTGTATCGTAAATGAAAAATTGCTTTGGTAAATGCGCAATCCAAAAGTTCAAAGTAATCTCTGTTGATAACCACATATTCGCACAAATTGAAACTATTGTTTAAAACTGCTTTATAACCAACAGACAAATTTTGATTTGTTTCATGCTCTAAATTTATATTTATTGGTTGAATTAAAAGTGAATCTCTGAGGAAATTCATAAGAGTAATTGATTGTTTATGTGGTAAATTAGATAACCAACAAAATAAATTTGAATACTGGAATTGGGATAAAAATGATTTTTTGAGTTTGATTAATAATAGGATGAAATTCTTTTGTTTTTCTAAATCTTGACAATATTTGAAAATTTGAAATTCGAATGGTAAAGTGAAGACACTTGTATGATCTAAAATAAGAGTTGGGTGGGTTTTATAAAGTTGACCGATGGAGTGTAATATACCAAAATCTGCAGCCTCTAAAGAATATGCGAAAATATCTTTAAACCCGATGTATTTGAGTTGAATATTTTGAAATCTAGGAAATGACGTCTCGGCCTCTGTAAGAATATTTAAATCTTTTCTGAAGACTGCAAACTTATTGACAGTGATTTCTCTTTTACTAAATTGAAATAGTTCTGACAATGGATAGAAGAATTTATACATATATAGATTGATTATTTTATTTAATACCCTGTTTTCTATTGTAATACCATCATGCTCACCTAGTACTTTAACTTCACCAATTGTAATGATTGATCCACTGATAGCTATCTCCATAGTATTTGAATTGCCACCATCTTCTCTCTTTATTTCATTAGCTTTTGATAATAATCTGCTACTACCAAGTATCTTTGCACTATTCCAATTTTTTTTTTCTAAGAGGGATGGATCACTTTTTTCTCGTTGCTTCAAGGCAAATACCTCGGGTTTACAATAGTCTACTATTGTAAGTAATTCTTCAATTTCATTTATATTACCACTTTTCAATACCGTTACCAATTCTTCTATATGATCTAAAGCTTCTTTCGATGAATCTAAAAACTCTTGAGTTGAATTCCTAAAATAATTTGAGAATACAAATACGAATTTTTTTAAATACTCTAAAAAAGAATTTGGATTGATTTCGTTGGTGAATGGTGTGAATCCATTTATGGCACTAATAAATTGGGTCTCGTTATATGGGACTATTCCATTCTCTAGAAAGAATTTCAGATATTTGAATGGTAATAAACTAAAGATGTCGGTAAATTGGGATTTGAAAACATTTGATTTTAACTCTTCAATACTAATATTTAGAGATGACATAATACCATTTGTATCAAATATACAGTCTACCATTGATGGTAATAGCTTGATTGGGCATGAAAATATGTTTCTAATTAGATCCTTCCTTGTAAAATTAGCTTCAATTGAAGCTTGTTGATCGGCTTGTGTTTCTTTTTTCTTTAAATACTCGAGAACAAACTCTAATGTTTCAACTTTACCAGACATGATTGCTAGATCAATCATTTTAATACTATTATCGTTTTCGAACTCTGGATCTTTTATCAGTACTTGTATAGCGGATAAATTGCCTTGTTTAATTGCAATTGCAATTAAAGACTCTTGATAATTTCGAAACTCGTCCCTGTATCGTTCAAAGATCATTTCGAATGTTTCTTTATCTTGAACCTTTGAAACTATACTATAGCAGCATGCCTCTGAATCTAAAAACAAAACCTCATTTCTTTGTAATTTCTCTTTTAATAAACCAAGATGCCCAAAGCTAACCATCCATCTAACATTGAATATGTGATTATATTTTCTGATATATGATAATGATAAATCTGTTTCTAACAATGATTTTTTATATTGACTGATACTTTTTATTGATTCTATTATTTGTGTTTTTAAAACTTTATTACGCCATATTGAAAAAAACACTGTTGAATTGTCTATTATCAAATCATCATCATCATTCATTTTATTTATTTAAAAAAAACTTTTTATTTACACACAAACATATATTTTATTATAAAACCTATTATTTATTTATTTATTTATTTATATTTATATTAATAATAATACAACAACACACAACTTAAAAAAAATAAAATAAAAAAATAAAAAAAAAAATTTTCTCATTTTTTTTTTAAAAATATATTTTTAAAGATATTTTATAAGAATTTTTTTATTTTAATTACATTCCACAAAAAAAAAAAATTAATTATTTTTAGATTTGTTTTTTACGATTATCATTTATATTTTTATAATTTAATAAAAACTATAAAACAAAAGCCATTAAATAACTTTTTTAAAAAAAAAAAAGAAATATTTCTCTTTTTAAAAACTTTTTTTTTTGCAAAATGAGATATTTTTGTTTTTTTTATAAAAAATCTTTTTTTTTTTTTTTTTTTTATATTTTTTTTGAATTTTTTTTGAATTTTATAACTTAAAACCAAACAAAAATTTTATTTGTATATTAATAACAATCATTAATGGACAACAACCAAAAAATATTAAATAATAACATTAATAATTTATGTGCAATTTCACAAATTCAAAACACAAGAAAAACTTTAAAAAATTTAAATTTGGAAAATGAAATTCCATGGGTGTCAAAGTGCAAAAAAAGGCAAAAAAAAATTAAAACTCCAGATAAATTAATTTCTCGTGTAACTTCAAACTTATTAAATTTATTAGCAAATATGTCAGATAATAATCCATTATTTTCAGAAATTAATAAACAAATAGTAAAAGCTAATCAACTTATTGGAGAAATTCCAGAAGAAAATAATGAAATAATAGAATCACTTAAAAATTTAATCACAGTATATAGCAAATATCGAGAGGATATTGTTAAAAAAATCGAAAACTTTAAAAAAAGTTTAAATGATAATGAAGATAATAATAATAATTTCAATTTTAATGATGAAGATCTTGATTATTTTTTTCAACCTGTAGTTAAAATATTAAAAGAAGATTTATTGCCCCGAGAAATATTATTAACTTTAGCTTTTAAAATCGCATCATTCTGTACAAAAAAAAATGAATTTGTTAAAAATAATAAATATGGCATATCATGTGGTTCTATTATTAATAGTGTTTACTTCAAAGTTGATAACGGTAGTGGTTTCCTATGCCCGGTCAGAGAGAATGCGGTTTATACCTTTTACAAAATTTTTTTTAATAGTGAAACTTATATATCACCAACTCAAATGATCTTTTTAAAAAAAATGCCCATTACCGTTGCAGAAATTAAAGGAAGACTAAATAAAAAAGATTTAAAATTTCAAAATAGAATTTTACCCAATGTAATTCAAATGGAACCAAAACTACTGGAAATGATGGATTTTATGTGTAAATGTACTCAGATTTCAATTCAAGCATCTCATCTAATATCTGGAATCCCCTTCAATGATTTTCTTGAGCAACAAAAAGATAATACATCAAATCTTTCATCATTCATAGATATAAAAAGCTTCAGTATACATTTCATCTCAAGTCTACTGCTTTTACCAAACGATAGCAAACCTGATAACTTTATTTTACAAGATAACAAAACACTAGTGGGCATTGACAATGATTGCTCCATTTTAAACGACGAATTTCAAAAAACAAAGGATAATTATTATGTCAAATCAAAAAACATTTTTTATACCCTCCCGCTAATGGACGAATTTATAGACAACAGCATTATAGATATCTTTAAAGAAATGGATATAGAGTTATTTATTTTAGAGTGGCTAGGAAAATCAAATCAAAAAGAAATTTTAATAGGAAAAATGCTACGTGAAATCATAAATTCATCAGATATTGAAATGTACAAAAATACCCTATCATTACCAACCGCAATTCCAGATGGATGGATAACAAAATTTATCAATAGATTTACAAAAATAAAGGAAGAGTTTAATTCTTTTGATACTCCAGTTACCCACAGACAACTATTTAAAAAAATTTCACCATTTTTATCACTTTATTACGAATCACTTGCAAAATGGGCAGCAAAAATTCCTGTTGAAAAAAGATTAGAAGATTACAAATCAGATTTCAATTATCAAATGTTTCTTCTATATGTAGAAAAACTACCTTTCATCCAGATGTGTGATGAACATTCTGGATTAGAACAAAAAGATTTATTGCCAATATATGAGAATTTGAAAAAATCAGAGTTTTTGTATCCAATAGAAAACAAATTGCTATTCCAATATCAAAAACATCAATACTCAACAATAGAAGAACTGATAACTTTTCAACTAAGATCAACGGTCTATAGTAAAGAGAACTTTAATATCGAACGACTTTCAAGATTTTTTAAAATTATTAACAATTTAACCATGAATGAAACCAATTTAACAATTAAACTATCAAGTGAAAACTTTCATTCGACTTGGGAACATAACAAATATTTAATTTTGCTCAGGTTAATTAAAAATGGAGAAAGTGAAACAACAATAGAAAACACTATAAAAATATTCGAAATTGATTTAAATATTGAGTTGAGCAAAAAAAAAGAATCAACCTTTCATTGTGTTATAAGATCAAAACAGTCGAATGAAATTAAAATAAAACAACTCGAAGTGTTAAAAAGATATGGTGCCGATATTGAAGTAATTAATGAACATGGTTCCAATACTACTCCACTAGACTATGCCGCTATGGAAGAAAATAATCAACTATTTGTGTGGTTTATTAAAAACGGATCAGGTTCAAAATCCATGGATTTAAAAACATGTGCATCTTTTTATTACGGACTCTTATACTCTGAAAAAAAAGAATTAGAACCGTATATGAACTCTCTCTACCATATAAACCAAAAACTAGCTTGGAAATTTGCAACTAAATCTTTACTTCCAGTTAATGAAGAATCAAAAACAGAAACAAAAACAAACACAAAATCAAATTCAAAAATAGTTAAAACTTTTAAAAAAACTAGAATTTTAAAAGAAGAGTATATAAATCAAATATTCGAAACTGATGGTAATATCTTGATCCCAAAGAAAAATAACCTAGGTAAAAGTGCAGTACCTTTCATTGAAGATTTCGGCCTTAGAATCTATTTCAAATTCTACCCCATATACCCAGGTAATGAAAAATCTGTATTTATACTATCAGATCTACTATTTGGTTTGTGTACACCGTTTTCAAAAGTGGTAGTAATAGAAAAAATATTTCCTGTTCTTTTAATCCAACATGTTCCAGGAGAAGAATTAATTTATAAGCTTATTAAAGAATCATCACCCATCAGAAATACAATCCATTCAAATGAATTTAGTATTGAATCAATTGATGAAAAAGATTTAATCCAAAAACCAATTGAACTCGATCAAATCCAAGAAAAAAATCTATCAAAACAATTGATTCTTGCAATGCTTATTAATGATGCAGATGGAAATTTTGGTAATTTTATCATTTCAAAAGTATCACCGAATCAATATCGAATAGTTTCAATTGATAATGAACTTGCATTTGCACCACCAATAATTACCAATGGCAAACCAATAAAATCCATAGGTAGTTCAAATGCTCTATTGGTTTTGGATCTAATGTTCAAAAAAGTCGACATCAGCACTATAGAAGAACTCAAATCAATTAATATTGAGGAAATTATTCAAAAGTGGTTAAAAAAACTTGAAAAGAAACATAATCAATCAACAAAATTATTTTATAAAATTAACGATCTAATTAGTGCATCAACTATCGTAGGAATTCCAATGTACGAAAATTTAATTTACAAAATCCATACCAAGCTATTAAGACTAAAAAAAGATCTTACAAATGAAATGACATACTTTGATGTATTTATTTTACTTGAACCAGAGTTAGCAATTAGAGTCAAACCAATTTTATACAATCCATCACTATCACCATTTAAAAGATATACTACCCTTAAAGAATTAAAACTGAAATCAAAAACCTCCCAAATATCAGGCAATACAAATCCAATCAATTTATTATTAGAAACTAGCATCATACCATACTATATGGATATTATAAAAATGGGTAATTTTAAACCAAATAATGCAATCGCGGAATTTAATAGAATCATGGAGCAGGTAAATCAATTAAATAATATAAAATCAAACCAGCCATTAAACACAACTTTTCTACCAGCAGCTATTGAAATGGTTTTATATGATTTAAATTTTGGGGCATTGACCAAACAAGAGGAAATTAATTTTTTCAATTTCATCAAAAAAAATATTCTAAATGTTTGTTCAGTATATATTAAAGGTAGTAAAATATTTTCATCAAATCATTTTGACCGCTTATTCAGTCCGACCCCAATCACAAGAATTAATATTACTAACTCGCCAACATTTGAAGGATTTTTAGATAAAGTATTTGTATCACTCACACACTTATATGTAGAAGGCTGTTCAAACCTTACGAAAATAAGAATCAAAGCAAAAAATTTGATATATTTGAATGCTTCCAGATGTCCTTTAATAGAAGAAATCATATTAGGTACCCCACACTTGGAATGCTTGCTTTTAAAGGATACCATTACAAACAAGAATTACCTCCTTCTTGACATAGTTTCAAAATATAAAAATTTAAAACTATTAGATATAGGATTTAGCAAAGAAACCCAAATCGATTCATTAGAATTATACTTTATTTTACCAGATCTCAAACAGTTTTTAGCAAATAATTTAATTGGAATTGAAAAACTAATTATATATATGCCACAAGTAAAGAAATTTGAAGCAAATTTATCAACAGCAAATTTTATATTTGATGGGAAAGCATATTATGATAATAATAAATATACACAATTGGCAGAGTCAAAAAAGAGACGAATTTTGATCAATATATTTGGTTCAAATAATTCATTTTCTCACTACTTTTTAAACTATTTCGAACATAATGTAAAATCTTTAGGTATTGGTTGCATTCTTTCACTAAACTTTAGATCAAGTCTTTCCATGTGTTTTACCGAAAAAAAAAAAGACTTTTATTTTCAAACCCTTTTCTGCAACAGCTTTATTTTCGTCATATTGGAATTGGATAATGATGACTCTCGAAAATTAATAAATGAAAATTTAAAATGCTATTTTGGAAACAACAAAAAATTTACCAATCACATAAAATTTATTTTAATTACAATAGGCGAAGAAAAAACAAATCAATCAAAAATCAAAAGTTTAAAGAAAAATTTAGATTTTTCGTTTGAAATTAATATTCCAACTGTAAAAGTCTCAACACCTGTTAGGAAGGTATTAAGAAAATCTGAAACATCCAAAAAAACAAATTACATCGACCCCGATCAAATATACTCATGGACAAAGGATTTAGTTTTACTAAATAATTTATCATAAAGAAAATAATAAATAATAAATAAATATTTTAGATTCCTTAAAAATAATTTTTTTTAATTTTTTTTTTTTAATTTTTTTTTTTAATTTTTTTTTTTTTTTTATTAAATATTTTTCGTTTAATGATCCATAAAAAAAATTTTAATTTATTTTCCATCATATATCATCAGTATATTATTACATAATAATGAATAAAATATTTACCAACAATATATTAAAAACCAATAGTCGTAATAATATATTCAAAATTTTTAATAGTAGTAGTAATAATAATGGTTTAAGATATATCAGTTCAACGAATAATAATTTTTCGTTTTCTAAAAATAATGATTTTATAAAAAAAACAAATATAAACCCATCATTAAATTTTTTATCATTAAATAATTTAATAAATGAAACAAATAATAATAATAAAAAATATATGAATAGATACTATACAACTGAAAAACCAAAAGAAAAAGAAGAACCTAAGGCTGAAGAACAAAAAAAAGAACAAGAACAAGAAAATACAAATAATAATAATAATAATAACAATAATAATAATAATAACGAATTTAAAGATGAAAAAAGAAAAACATTAGATGAAAAAAATAAAACTACAGCAATGTATGTTGCAATTACAATTATTATGGTTTTAGGTGCATCATATGCAGCAGTTCCATTATATCGTGTATTTTGTCGTGTTACAGGTTTTGGTGGTACAGTAAGAGAAGCTGATGAATTTGATATTGTCAGAAAAAGAGATTTAAATAGAACTGTTTATCCATTTAAAGTTACATTCACTGCATCAACTGCAAATAAAATTCCATGGAGTTTCAAACCAACCCAATCCACCATCGAATGTGTACCAGGTGAACCTGTACTCTGTTTCTATAGAGCAACCAATAACACTGATACACCAATTATCGGCGTTGCAACCTACAACATTACACCAATGAAAGCAGGTAGCTACTTTACCAAAATTCAATGTTTTTGTTTCGATGAACAACGTATCAATGCCCACGAAACTATCGATATGCCAGTTTTATTTGTAATTGAACCAGAAATTTTAGACGATAAAAGTATGAAAGGTGTTTCCGACATTACCTTATCCTACACCTTCTTTAAATCAAACGATCAAGGCGAATACGAAGAAATTTAAAAATAATAATAATAATCGCATTTATATATAATAAAAACTGTTAAATAAAAATCAATATTTATAAAAAATAAAAAAAATAATTGCATAGTATTTATTTAAAAATCGGTAATGTATAGGTTTTTATTGTGTATTTGTAAAGTTAAATAAATTTATATAAGATCGTTATATAATTGTGATTGTTTATTTTGTTGATGTTTTTTTTTTTTTTTTTTTGAAAAAAAAAAAAAAGCTTTGATAAAAATAAATTTGATAAAATATAATTTTAGTTGTTTATTTGATTTGGGTACCAAGAATTGGAGCAACAACAGCTATGACAATGATAACAACAATAATAAGAATAATATACATCTTCTTTCTTGACTTTTTGTGAAGTCTATTGGCTTCAGCAAGATTTTCAACACCCTCTTTAGTATTAAGTACAGTTGAATTTACGTTGGCTTCAATTTGATTAAGTAACTCACCTTGAGTTTCAACTAAAACTGCCATATCCAAAAACAATTGATGTAACTCTGCAATACTTTGTTCTAATTTAACAATATCATTATGTCTATCTTGGATATAATCGAGTGCATTTTTGGCTTGTGTATGTAAATGTGTATAAAGAATAGTTTCTTCAAAAATCTTTTTGCTGTCACCTGATGCCATTGCTTCTTGAATTTCTTCTTGAGTTGCATCTGGTTTAACTATATATTACATTATTATTTAAAAATATTTATTTTAGATTAATATATTTTGTTTTGTTTTTTTTTTCTCTATAAATAAAACCTTATAACCTACCAATTTTATATTGTCTTTCAATCTTTTCTTTATATTTATTTTTATAATTAGTTTGAATTTCTTGATATTCTTTCATCATTTCAACAAACTTTTGTGTTAATGTATTTTGCATATTAGATCTAATACGAACTTCTGTTGGTTGAGCTGTTTTGGTAGCTGCAAATTTTTCATTATTTATTTTCAATGTATCTAATTTCTTTTTTAAATCTGCAAATGATTTATTTGTTTGATCAAGCATTGATTGTAAATCTTCTTCGTATTCTGTTATGATTTAAAAGGATAAGTTAATATCATCTAGTCTATTGAAAATTAAATAAACAAACCCTATATCTATATACATACTTGAACCTTGGTCCACATTAATTGAATTTAATGATAAAACATATTTGTCTTCTATATTTCTTACACTTCTTTTAACAGATGTCATTAAAACTTTGATATCACCTACTTCTTTATAAAATTCTGGCATAAACTCTTCAACTGGTTGGCCATCATCAGTTCCCATTTCGATATCGTTTAATGATGGATCTTCTGTTGATGATGCTTCAGCTACTTGCTCTGCAACTTCCTCTTTACCTTTTTTTCCTTTTTTACCTTTCTTATCGACAACTGGTTTAACACCACCTAATTGCTAAAAATAATATTAATATTTATAAAATAATTATTTTATTTATTTTGTTTCTATAATGATAATAATTACTCTTAATTCTTCTAAACGATCCTCCATTTTAATTTATGTGAATGTATGTGTGTATATATGAATGTATTTATTTATTAATTAATTTATCCGTGTATTTGATTTTGTTATTTTATTGTTACAAAATATCTATATTGAATTTCTCTAAATATATATTTCTTTTTATTTTTTTCCTATATTTTTTGATTTTAAATATTAACTAAACAAATTTTAAAAAAAATAATATAAAAAATACGTTAGTATATTAAAATTTAAATATTATAATATTTATTAATTATTTATTAAATTATTTAATTATTTATTATTTTTTTGTTATGTATAATCTTTATGTGAGTGAGTGTGTGAGGGTGTTGTTGTTCAACTATTTTATGTGTGTTTTGGGAGTGTGTGTAAAATTTAAAATTATTTTTTATACAGCGTAGGTGTGTGTAAATAACTATTTTACAGAAAATAAAATAAAAAATAGATAAATAATTAATTTATATAATGTGGAATATAGGAATTTACATTAATTCTGTAATAATATATTTCTTTTAAAAATAATAAAATATATATTATATATAATATGTTGTATATAATAGAGATTAGAGAAAAAAAAATTTTAAAAAATATTTTATTTAAACAAAAAAAAACAAAAAATAAATAATTATAATTATTTAATCTTTTAAATTAATTTTAATTTTAATATTAATAAAAAAAAAAAAAAAAAAAAGATATCAACGGTTGGAATTGAAGATCTTATAATATTGTAATAATTAAAAAAAAAATTTTAAAAAAATTTAAATAAATAAAAAAAATAAAAAAAAAAAAAATAAAAAAAAAAAAATGAAAAAAAAATACAAATTTTTTTTTTTTCTAATGAAATATTTTCACGGAATGAAAAGGGGATTATAGTGTGTGTTGTCGTGTTTATTTTATTTTTTTGAACTGTATGATTAAGGTATAATATACAACCATTATTTTAAAATTTTTTGGATTGTGTGTTTAAACCAAACATAAAACATTGACCACGTTGCAATGTGGATGGTGTTTTAATTGTGGAAAGAATAGAAAAGAATACAGATATAATAAATATTATTTATTACTATAATATTATTTATTTATGTTGCTGTAATATCCAAATTAGATTTTTTAAAATTTATTATTATTATTTTAGTTAAAATGGTTTGGGTTTATTTTTTTTTTTTGGGGTTATTTTTTATGTTTTACATTTTTTATTTTTTATTTTTTATTTTGGGCGTTTTACGCCTTATTTTTGATTTTTTATTTTTTTTA